GAAAGATTTTTAAAGTTAAGCAGTTTACTCGTAAGTTTATCTTTATAGCAAATTAACAGTTCGTTTGACAATTTTGGAATAATTGAATCGGCAGACTGGAATGCTTTTATTATTCCTAATTCATCTTTATTTTCTGAACCACTATTATTTAATACTTATACCATTCTGATAATTTATCATATATATTAAACTTAAGTTTATCTTTAGAGCAAATTGACAATTTGGTTGACAATGTTGGAATAACTGAATCGGCAGACTGGAATTCTTTTAATATTACTAATTCATCATTATTTTCTGCACTTCCATTATTTAATATCTTATACCATCCTGATAATTTATCATAGATATCAGATGCGGCTGGTCTATTAGAAGGATCAGCATCCATACAATGATTTGCTAATTGAATATAGCATTCAGGAGTGCCGTTAGCAAATTCAGGACGTAATCCGCTACATATTTTTATAGCTAACGTTTCATCATACTTAATATCAAAATGAGGAGGTTTTCCTGTAGACACCTCAGTCATAATAATACCAAAACTATAAATGTCAGCTGCTGCCGTATATGGATGTTTATTAAATAATTCTGGCGCAATATAAGGTAAAACACCATAAACGCCATCTTCCAAATCAGAATCAACCATCTTTCTAGATAATCCTAGATCAGCAATATAAGATATTAGATCACCATTAATATATTGATTTTGCAATATATTACCACTGTTACGGGGTGAATCGTATAGTTTTATTAATTTATATACAAAAAGATATAATTTATGTGATATGACAGCTCGCCAGAGGCGTGACGTTGGTGATTTTACAATAATGTAATTTATTAAAAGGAATTATCAGGGTAATTTATTAAAGGTGTTAGGAATGAATTATTGGAATTCCGAAGGATATTCTTTTACTAACGCGAATTCCTATCTCTTTTATAGATTATTTTATCCTAATGAACTCAAAGGGGCTTAGGGAAGATTTATATAATACATCATTAAAGAATCAGGGCGAAGTTATTATACATCAAGGGGCTTATAATAATTATACTAATAATTTCTTTCAACGAATTCCTTCTTTAGCCTATTTTCCAGATCTTCTTTCTTGATCTTTGTTTCTTCCTTTCGGAATTCTTCTTCGGATTTCACGTAGGCTATCCTTTCTATTCTTTGGCAGGTAGGCTTCATATAACTGTGGATCAAGAATTCCAATATTATATCCGGTTTAGTCATGAGATTACTGCGCCAATTTGACAATCCTTCTTTGCCCGTGACACCACTATGAAAATCTCCATGAATATATTCTGCTTTGTGTATTTTTATTAAATTTTCGGATATGTCGACAAGTTGTTTTAATTTGCTTTTCCAATTAAGTTCTTTAAAATTTAAAAATAAGAAATCATGAAGATTTCCTCTATTTGCATATTGAAATACCAATAAATATTCTTTATTAGTTGTGTTTTGAGTTATTCCATAAACTTCAAGATTATATCCCATTAACCTAAATTTCGTGTAACTTTTAAACTTGTTAAAATAAAGTTTATGATGTTAATAATTTATTAATAATAGGTCATGAATAAATCATTTTAACTTACTTCTCTTAAAAAGTTTTTTTGTGAACCAGGTAAAGTTTTAAGTGCAACTACACATGATGATGTACGTGATTGTGTGTAGGAGTTAACAGCTTTACCTGAAACAAAAGCTTTACCTGAAACTACTCTTTTACCATCTAACCACGTTGCGGAAAAGACGGTGTTAAATCCCCCTTTACCAATCATTTGAATATTATCTAATCTATTAAAAGGAATCCATTCGATCACTTCTTCATATTTTGTAGCTTTAAGTTGAAATTCATTAATACAATCATCAATATCTTTATTTCCACTTGTCCATTCTTGTGTTGCCTTCTGAGGGTCACACACTTGACACCACGCTTTAGAAGTGTTATTTCGGTTGCAATTTGCACACCGTCCTTTATATTCAGATCTTTGCCTATAAAATTCATCAAATACTAACATATACTCATTTGTTGCAGTATTTTGAGTTAGTCCATATACGTTAAGAACACTCTTCTTTAATTGTACGTTAAGAGCATTATTCTTTAATTGTATATAATCTACGAACTTATGTAAATACGTATTAAAATAAAGCTATATATTGTGTAACAATGATTAAACATTTTAACTTACTTCTTCTAACATATCTAATAAACTTTGTGATCTGGTTAATATTTTAAGATCCACTTTATGTGATGGTATACGTGAATGTGTACATTCATATTTATTACATTCATTTTTATATTCATCTACATATCTTATGCCATCTAACCAGGTTGCTAAAATTTTATCGCCAATATTTTGAATTTCATCTAATTTATTAAAAGGAATCCATTAGATTACATCTTCATAAGATGTAGCTTTAAGTTGAAATTCTTTGATGCAATCATCGATAACTTTATTTCCACTTGTCCATCCTTGTACTGTTTTCTGAGGGTCACATGTTTGACACCATGTTTTAGATGTGTTACATTGCTTGCAATTTGCACATTTTCCGTTTTCTTCATCCCTCTTAGAACCAAATTCATCAAATACCAACATATATTCGTTTGTAATTGTGTTTTGAGTTAATCCATACACACTTTAATCTTCTGGTTGCATATGAATTTTAAACTTGTAAAAATATAAAATATATAAGAAATTATCGTTATATAAACACGATATTAATCATATAATAAATAATAAATGTGCAACCAGGAGAAAATCGATATTGGAACTTCGAGTTTATTGATTATCTTTTACTGGTTCAGACCTTGAACAATCCAATAATTTAAAAGCCCGAAACCTTGACAACAATAATTTAAAACGTATAATATTGTTGCCGATTAGAGGGGCTGAATCCAATAGGTAGAAATAATAAACTTGAAAGTCCAAAGTTTCATTTTCCCTTAGTAGCTCACATATAGTCTTACCTCTTTTAAAACATTTCCTAGATTTTGTGATCGGGTCAATATTTTAAGTTCCACTTTATATGATGGTATACGTGACTGTGTATATTTATCTCTATGTATATTATAATCATATTCTTTATTTAGATATCGTATTCCATCTAACCATGTTGCTAAAACTGTATCGCTAACGTTTTGAATATTATCTAATCTATTAAAAGGAATCCATTCAATTACTTCTTTGTACTTCGTAGCTTTAATTTGAAATTCCTTAATGCAATCATCGATATCCTTACTTCCACTTGACCATCCTTTTGCTGCTTTCTGAGGGTCACACGTCTGACACCAAGTTTTAGATGTGTTACATCGCTTGCAATTTGCACATTTTCCGTTCTCATCCTTTCTTTTATTATAAAATTCATCAAATACTAATATATAATCATTCGTTGCGGTATTTTGAATTAGACCATATACTTTAAGAAGGCTATTCTTTAACTGTAAATAATCTACGAACTTTTTAAGTATGTAAATATACAATATATTAAAATCAAGCTATTTATACTTGTGCAACAATGTTTGAATATTTAACTTCATTTAACATATCTAATGAACTTTGTGTTCTAGTTAATATTTTAAGTTCCACTTTATATGATGTTTTACATGACGTGTATATTCACATCCTAAATTTCGTATTCCATCTAACCAGGTTGCTAAAACTTTATCGCCAATATTTTGAATATCAATTAATCTATTAAAAGGAATCCATTCGATTATATTTTCGTATTGCATAACTTTAAGTTGAATTTTTTTAATACAATCATCAATATCTTTATTTCCACTTGTCCAGCCTTGTGTTATTTTCTGAGGATCACATGTTTGACACCATGCACAAGACGTGTTATATCGGTTACAATTTGCACATTTTCCATAATCTTTATGCCTCATAGAACCAAATTCATCAAATACCAACATATACACATTGTTTGCAGTATTTTGAGTTAGTCCATATACTTTAAGCTTATTATTCTTTAACTGTACATAATCTATAAACTTATTAATAATGTTTAAATATTTATTAAAATAAAGCTATATATCTTGTGCAATATTAATTATTAAATATTTTAACTTACTTCATTTAACATATCTAATGAACTTTGTGTTTTAATTAAACTTTTAAGTTCCACTTTATATGATGGTATACGTGACTGTGTATAGTATTTATTGTCATTTTCATAATTTGAATATCGTATTCCATCTAACCAGGTTGCTAAAACTTTATCGCCAACGTTTTGAATATTAACTAATCTATTAAAAGGAATCCATTCGATTACATTTTCGTATTGCGTAACCTTAAGTTGAATTTCTTTAATGCAATTATCAATAATTTTATTTCCGCTAGTACAGCCTTTTATTATCTTCAGAGGGTCACATGTTTGACACCAAGCTTTAGATGTGTTATACCGCTTGCAATTTGCACATTTTCCATAATATCGTTCTCTTATAGAACAAAATTCATCAAATATCAACATATATTCATTTTTTTCAGTGTTTAGAGTTAATCCATAGACAGTTTTACCTTCTAATTGGACATGATTTTTAATCTTATAAAATATATAAATAATATAAACATAAATTAAGTATCCACACAATTAATTAAGTAAATTGAACATAATAAGATAATATAAACTCACTTCTTTTAAAATATGTTGAATATTTTGTGAATGAGTCAATGTTTTAAGTGTAACTATGCATGCCTGTGTACGTGACTGTTTAGTATATTTTCTATAGTTATCATCATAATATAGATGTCGTATTCCATCTAACCAGGTTGCTAAGAATTCATCGCCATTTTTTTGAAAATTAATTAGTCTATTAAAAGGAATCCATTCGATTACATCCCGATAATCCGTAGCTTTAAGCTGAAATTCTTTAATACAATCATCAACATCCTTATTTCCACTAGTCCATCCTTGTGTTGCTCTCTGAGGGTCGCATGTTTGACATCAAGCTTGTGATGTGTTATATCGCTTGCAAATTTCACATTTTCCAAACAATTCATCTCTTTTAGAACTAAATTCATCGACCATAATTTTAAGATAATTAATCATAATTTTGCATTGTTTAGAACAATATATACGTATGTACGTACGTACGGCGTATACTTATTTGCGCCGATGATACCAAAAAAAGGGGATGGCTAAAGCCATATATCCAGGTGATTTTTTAAAATTTTAGTTATTAGGGTTAGAGACTAGCAATAGAGTCGGAGATAAGGTTAGAACTAGTATATAGATAAAATCGTCTTCCCGGCATTTTTATTAATAGCCCAAGATAGGTTTAGACTACCGTTTTTATTTTCTTGCGTTTTTTTTTTGACGTCTTTCGGGCAGACAAAATTTCGCGAC